ATGTCTGTTACTTGTATGCATTTGTTTCTACTAAACTGAAAGGATATCATCATTTTAAGGTAGTTTGAATTTGGTCAACGTCCCAGGTTCAGATTTATTTTTTCAACTTTTTGTATTATGGTGCATAGGTTGTGGTGCTTGGATCATGTTGTTACTGATATTCATTCTTCAGCAAGGTTAAGATACTAGTTGCTGTAATAACAATGTTTAGTCATTGCCAGGTACACGATGGACAGGCCACGGTTTAGTGATCATCTAGAGGCAATCAAATTCATCTGCAAGGATTTTTGGTCTGAACTCTTTAAGAAGCAGATAGACAACTTGAAGACAAATCATAGAGTATGTTTAGGAACTGAACCTGACCTAAAAAGTGGTTGATTTGAAGTTTTATGAATGGTTTACACTTGTCTTGTAGGGTACCTTTGTATTGCAAGATAATCGTTTTCGTTGGCTTACACGCATGTCAATTGATCAATCACCTGAAAATGGAGCATCCGAAGATACTTCTATAATGGCTGACAACAAGGCTGTGCAAAGCATGCATCTCTATTTTCCATGTGGAATTATCAGGGGAGCTCTTTCAAACTTGGGAATACCTTGTGCAGTTTCTGCTGACATATCCAACCTTCCTGCATGTGAGTAACCTGCTTGATGATCGCTTTATACATTTTTGTATTGATAACTGATAGGTGATTTTGAGTCAATTAAGTTTAACATGCCACTTTAAGAACTTTGCTACTATTATTCTATACATGAAGCAGACTGGCCTTTGGTTCCCTTATTTATAAACTTAGGTAATCTTAAGTGTCTTGTGATTGAAGAAAAAGGTTGATGTTAGATCCCTCATGTTTATAACAATCACATTCTCTTCTTTTGACGGTTCTTTGTCTTTGAATTCATCTATTGTTCTTTTGCCCTTGTTTTTTGATACTTAATCGACGATGATAACAAGTATCTGGAAGAACTTTAGTTATGAGTCAGATATTTGAGCAGATTTAACCGTTTTGAACTATTTGTTTAGTTTCAATTCATGTAACATTTAAACTTGCTGAGACTTCTAATCTTGCTTTTACTCTAGGTTCATTTGTGGTCCGTATAAAGGCTTGATGAGCATGTTACCAGAAATGCAGCACCAATGATTAGGGTTTCAAGCATACACTTGATGCTAGTTTAAAAGAAAATATCTTCTGCTTATGCATGAGAACAACTCGATTTGAGAACTACTGGAGTCTCAGTCAGAATATCGGAAGTTGTGGTACAGGAAATACTCTTGAAGAAAATGATGTGAGAAATAGACTTGGAACTTTTGTATGTGGATATTGTGAAACCTTTGTTGTTGATAAGATTGCATTATTGAATTGTTTTCTGTGCATTTAAATGTGACATTGAACGACCCCTTCACATGTTGAATTGACATTTCTCTGATCTGTGCTAGTGTAGAAATAGATTCACTAAAGAAACAGTATGGCCTGGCTTTTTCAAAGAATGATCCCTCTCTGATTTATGCAAAAGGATGGGTGCTTTTCTCTTCTTTTTTTTTTCCTTATTTAAATTTTATTTGATGAGTGAAAATTTATTGATTTAGAAGACTAATGTGCCTGAAAGCAGGAAATCCTGCCTTGAGAGCTTACAACAAAACCAGAAACCAGTACAACATAACAGAAGCGTGACATGTGTGCCTCTTGTTAGTAGAAACAGGAAACTTCCAAGATTGAGAATTCTACAAGTACAGCAGATGTGCAGCAGAATCATAAAGGAAACGAGTGTTTTGGGCTTTAGCAATTATCATTTCAGCCTAAGCAACCTAAATTGATCCAAACTTGAGTTAAAAAAAGCAATCAAATATTCCTTAGATGTTAAAAAAGGTAACAAGGCTCCTAAGTTCTAATAGCAAGTACTCCTTTTCATATCTAGGATGCCATATCTTGTCCTTGCTCACATTAGCATCACCCTCCTTCCCTTCTAGGTTCCAAAGACCAGAACTTTTATGGAAGGAAAATCTTCATTTTGTTCCATTGCATAATGGTCCCAAGAAATTCAAAAGATGGGCAAGACTAAGTTCCTTTAGAATCAACTATCTCAGCCTTCTAATGCAAAACTTTTTTCTGTCTTCTCTCATTTTCTTGGCATTTGCCTCTACCTTAAGGTGCACACCAATTTGACAGTTAGGTGCATCATGATTTTGTTACATAAAAAAATAGTTTACAGGTTAAAGATGATTTAAATTTTAAATGTTTAATTTCATTATAATACATAATTGATATGGGATTCATGGCTCTCTATTGAGACCATGATATCTTCCCTTGATGTAAAATTCACTAATTTTTGTAGAGTGTAATATTCTCAAGAGTAGAGTGTAATAGAATTAGATGGTGTGTAAATTTTTAAAAATTTTATTTTATATATTTTTTAATATTTTAAAATAATTTTTATTTAATAATTAATATAAAAATATATTTTTTATTTATTATATATTTTTTCTTTTCTCTTCTGCTTTTTTTTATTTTTTTTTCATTTTAATTCAATTTGCTCATATGTTCATAGTTTTCATAGATTTTTTTTTATTTTCTACGAATCATTAACCATATTCTTATTCTTTATTTTTTGTTATATAAGTTTTATCTTTACTTGTCATCATCTTTTTTTTTTGTTATATGAATTTTATTTTATATAATTTTAATTTTTAAAAATTAAAAAATTATTATATAATTCTCAAATATAAGTTATTGTATAACACTGTTAATTATTATTTATAATTTTAGCAATAATCATTTTTTTATTAATCCTATTTAATAGATTAATTCATCTTATTTTGATTCTTTTGGTTTCTACAACAACTATATAAAAAATCTTTTCAATAATGAAAATTAATTATAAAAATAAGACGTATGAATAAAATGGATATAGAGTTTTTTATAGATAATTTAGTTGATTATATTGAAAAAATCATTATTAATTTTTTTAATATAAAGTTAATAATTGATGAATTCAAATCCGAAAAATATCCTTAAGCGCAAATATTTCTAAAAGATTATTATCAAATTTTTTTATTTTTTTATTTACTTGTTATATAAAATTATTATTTATTATAAATTTTTTAATTATTGATTAAATTCAACATATTAATTTTAAAAATTTTTAAGTTTTATTTTTTTTTCGTCTTTGACCTCTCCAATAAAAATTAATTAATTCCATCATAAATATTCTCATAAGATTTTACTAAAAATATATAATCTCTTTAATATAAGATTCATAACTTACTATCCACGTTATAATACTTTTAACTGTTTTCGTGTTTTCTGGATGGATGCCACCGATAGTCGAGAAATTGAGAAGGGCTTCATTTATAGAAGAGTTTTTTGCACTTTTTCCTTTGGTTGGTGAAGATGATTTTCTATTATTATGCTTAATTGTCCTACTTGAACTACCTTAGCTTTTATTAATTTAGGACCTCTTTTTTTTGTTTTTTACACTATTTATTACAGCTATCTTCTGAAGATAGCAATTAATGTTGAGATCACAAATTAAGCAAAGAGATCAGAATCTGCGTTTTCATCATGAATGTCAAAGTTCGCTTTTCAATTATGAGCAGATTGAAAATTTGCAAAACCAGCCATGTGATTTTCTTTTAAAAGAAATTTTGTTTTTCTCTTTTGTTTCAACCTGCTTCCTCTTTCCTCTCTTCGTTTACTAACATCCATTCATGGCTGGAAAAACCCAAAAAGGCTTCTAATTATTGCAGTATTAATCCCAAAATGAGAACGGGCGAGCGTAAACCCTAAACCCTTCCAAATTCCAATAAATATCATTGCTACCTTTTTTGTCCAAGGCTTTTATTATTTTAAAAGTAATGTTAGTAGACATGGAGATAAAAAAATAATGATTTTATAAATATTTATTTTATAAAAATAATCAAATTATTATTATTATAATTATTATTTGATAATAAATAATCAAATTATAATGTTTCAATAATAAAATTACATTCTCGTCCTAACTCTTACTGGTCATGGGAATGATATTTTCATGATAAAAAATGTAACACGAGAAAAAAACTTTAAATAATTAAATATTTGAAATTTGAAGTAAAAATTATTTTATTTTATTCTCGATGATAAGTAAGAAGATGCACCAGAAAAATTTCATGTAAAAAAAAATCAAATTTACAAATAAAATAAAACCAAATTTAGTTCACACAATGACATAATCATAATGATAAGTTAAGTAATAGTTTTAAATCCATAATTGATTTACACCCAAAATTTTCAGGCAACTTACAAATTAAAATACCCAAGGTATCAAATGTATTGTTTTTACATAACTAGAAATTAAAAAAAAAGAAGCAAATATTGAGATTGTATAATCAAATTATTCATTTTATTTTCACTTTGTCACACGTACGAAACATTTACACGCATTATGTGTGAGAAAAAGAATAAAACATATGCATAAAAAACATGTGACTTATGAAAATAAAATCTGTATGCGAAATATGATTGAAATAAATAAAAACAAGAGTTTACAAGAGGAGGCAAATGGCAATAGAGATTTTAATTAAAAATATATAAATATTTAAAAAATTTTAAAACAGTTATTTGAGTTTAACTCAAATAATAAGAACTAAATGAGATTTATATACATAATTATTAAAAATAAATAAAAGGTATATGATTATTTATATGCTAATTTAAATTATATAAAATAATATTAAAACCTTCAATTAGGCTTGGGATTAACTCGAATAATAAAGAATAAGTGCAAAAGAAGTTACAGCCGTAGTGGCAATGCCGTCTAAGAAAATCTCAAAGCCAAATAATTTTAATCACAAAAAATCGCAGACCTGTTTTTTCACTTTTGTTCACTGAACTTCTATTTGTTTCAATTTGATCACTAATTTTTTTTTAAATACCAAATTTATATTAACTTTTGTGAATCATTTTTGTTTCTCATCAATTTTGTTTCTTAATTTTTATTAGAATGAAAAACTTGCGAAAATAAGGGAAAAAATTGAGAAAGTTTGTAAATACTTTAAAAAACATGATTATTTGAATAGATATTATGTTGTTATTTATCATTAATTTTATTCAAATCTATTGAGGTTATTATATAAGGTTATTAATCTGAATAGAAATTAAAGTTTCCAGGCAAAATGGAAAAAAAAAAGGATTAAGTTTGGTAGCCAGGTCTATCTTCCATAAAAGGCTTAGAAGGTTTACCTCTTTAAGGTCTCCATCTTTTCACATGGCTATGAAAACCGATCCTCTCCCTTTGATCTCACGTTCGGGTTGCTCTGTTTCTCATCCTCTGTTCCACCGTGGGAAAGCCTCTGTTAGGTTTGCCACCTTTAACCTTTTGCTCTTTCTTTTGTCTTTTTAACGTTAAAATTTGCTTGTGCATTGTCCTTGTTTATGCTGGGTTTTGCATGGGTTCACATTTTTAAGGTGGGTTTTTCTTCTTTTGATCAACATGTTAAAGGCTGGAGTTGAGACATGGAAGAGTTAAAGAAGGGAAAACGGCCTTAAAAATCTAGTCTTGCTGAATCTTGGTTTAGCTTTGTTTGTCACTTAAAAAGTGGGGTTTTGCAGTTGAGCTTTCTTGAGAGAGTCAAAGGAGGTAAAAAAGCTCAGAGCTTGCTTTTTCTTTTTCCTTGGTTTCTTGCAGTTGTGTTTGGATTTTTGTTTTAATGGAGGATATTAAGCGAGAGATAAAACTTGGTGAGTTAAAGAGGGAGAGCCTTCGTAAATCACTGGAGCAAGCCAGGGATCAAGCGACTTCGATTCTGTTGTTTACTTTACAATGGAAAGACTTAGAGAAACATTTTGATTTGATTCAACAGAATATTGAGAAAAGATTGGAGGTTGTTGAATTGCAAGAAAAACAGCTAGAAACCGAGAAGAGAGTACTGAAGGAAAGACAAGAAGTGATTTGTTTGAAAGAAAATGAGTTAAGTTCGTTGAATGAAAAGATTGAAGAATGTAATGCGGAGCTTAAGTTGAAACATACGGAAGTTAATTCGACGCAAAAATTGCTTGAAGAGTGCTCACTGCAGTTTACATTAAAAGAAGAGGACCTGGATTCAGTTAGGAAATTGGTTGAGAGCTGTTCTAAGGAGCTTTGTTTGAAGAAAGAGGAATTGTGTTCTGTGAACAAGTTGATAAGTGAATGTCTTGAGAAGCTAGAAGGGAAGGAGAAGCAATTGGGGTTCGTAGAGGAACAGATTGAAAAATCTAGTAAGGAACTTGGTGTGAAAGAGGGGAAGTTGGATTTGGTGCAGTCGTTGGTTGAAGAATGTGAAGGGAAGCTTGAGTCAAAAGAGAGGGAATTGGGGTTAGTGACAAGAAGAGTTGATGAATGTTGTAATGAGATTTGTCTCAAAAATAATCAATTGGACTGTTTGCAGAGATCCATTGAGGAAAAATCTAAGGAG